ACGGGGAGCCGCGGGGGGTCCGGAAAATGGAAGCCGGGGCTTGCTGGCATCACCGCGGGGAGGAGGAAGAGGAGGATGAGGAAAAGAAGGAAAATAATAATATTCCCAGGGCACAATCTGCGCCGGGTGGTAAATCCCTGCCCGGAGTTTGGGAGCGGGGAGAGTTTGGAGGGCTTCGCCCAACTTTCCGCCTCGCTCGTCTCTCCTGGCGCTAGGAAGGAGAAGGCTCAAGAGCTGCTTCTCTCAGCTCTCTTCCTTTTTTTTTTTCCTCTTTTTTTTTTTTTTTAATTTTTTTTTCAAATTTTTGCAAACTTTCCATCGGGCACGGCGCAGGGCGCTGCCTGCCGTTGCGACGGGCGCCGACGGGTTGCACGGGGCGGCAGATGCCTGTAAAATGAATCTGCCCGTCCCGAGTTCGAAGGGAGCTTTGAGAACCCTTTAAAATCTCTCTCCAGGCAGCGAGGAGAAGGGGGGGCTTTTAAAAAGAAGAAGAAGAAAAAAAAGAAAATCACGTCGTTCGGTTTCTTTATCGGTTTATCAGAGATCTGTAGGGTTGGTTAAAACTCGGCGGTCTCCGGTACCCAAGGCAGAAAAAGTATGAAGCCCTAGGAAAAAAACCTGAACTCACTGTTATAAATATACATATATACGTGTGCGTGTGTGCCCGCGCTTATTTATTTATTTAAATTATTATAAACGGCCGAGGGAGCCAGATGCAGAGGCGCAGCCCCTCTCCCGGGGAGGCTCTTAGAGCCTGGGAGAGCCCGAAGGCACCTGGTTCCCCCCCCGGGCCGGGGCCGGGCGGGGGGGGGCGCGGAGCGGTGGGGCAGCCCGGCTGGGCAGCACCGGCCGGTGGGTCGGAGTGTTCGGCGCTGGGGGTCGCGACGGGGGGGGCTTTTTCTGGTTTAATTTGGATGAGGGCTGCTTTTTTTTTTTGCTTTATTTCTGGGTTGGTGTGGTGTTTTTTTTCCCCCTTATCCTTCTCTCCCAGCAAGTCCTCCAGCGGAAAATTGGAATTAAAAGCATGAAAGACAGAAATGTACGTCAAGAAATTTTAAATTATTATTATTTTAATTTTTTTTTCCTAAAGAGGAGGAAAAGTTAATTCAAAATGGCTGCTGGGACCGGCTTGGGTTTTATTCTTAGCTTGTCCTCAGGTTGTATTAATAATATCTGCAGGCAGGTCACACCGCAAGGCCGGGGAGATGGAGGGCTCCGGGCCGGGGGGCGGAGGGGGGGCCGGACCCCCCTCGGGGGGTG